AACACTGGGAGCACTGGCTTTTCTTTCTCTGGTGTTGGGACTGGTTTATCTTTTTTACCAGAATAGGTGACAATACCCTTCTCTGCATTTGAAGGTCATACTAAGGTGTCATTAGGATGTGTGGCATTAATTACTCACCCAGTTTACACTAGTTTGTATTCAGAGGATCTCCATTTGGTAAAAGTTTGTGCATATTGACACTGTTCTTGCAATCTGTTCTGAAAATTCCAATTACTTTTTAGCAGATTTGACAGTAATTTGTTTTATCATTTTGGGATTCTGTGGAAAAACTGAGTATCTTGTACACTACAAATATTTCTGCTGATGTTGTCTTTCAGTGTAGGTTATAGGGAGGAGAGTGGTCTTTTGTGTTGTCTAGCATAGGTAGCAAATACAGAGCAGAAATGTTATGGGCAGTAGCTGTTGGTAGAAAAATTACCCAGTTCCTTGATGTGTTTTATTTTTAATGCTTTGTAATGCAAACAGATGTTGAGTTTTAGCAGATATATTTATTAGTTGGGTGATTTTTTGTTAGCTTTCAATAAAAAAGAGGAACATATTAAAGCCATTATGAATTCTGCATAGAAATATTAGTTTTAAGACATAAGTTTACATTGTGCTTAATCAGAATTTAAATTTCAACAGAATAAAACATAAATTTTTCAAGAAATGCTTGTTGTTCCAAGTCATTAACACAATGTCTCTGTTGGACAACATTTTTAAATAGCACAAAACTTAATAGTGTATTTTAGAACTGCTCTCTTGGCATATTTCTGTAAATTCTAATTTAGACCTAGTGCTTAATTGTGCTGTCTGCTTGTCAAGTATAGAGAAGTAAATACAACCTTTTGCTTCAAAAATTTTAGCTTCCACTTAATTTTTTTGAGTAAGGTGAAAATATATTCTCAATGAAAGAAGAATTCAACAGAAGCTATGTTAATTAATCCTGTAGGAAGAATACCTCTTGGTCTTTCCATGTTTAACAGAGCAGAAAAAAAATGTTGGCCTCATTTCACACAACCAATTGAGGAAAGAACCAGACCATCTATGTTAGTATCTTTGTTTCTTGTTGACAAGCATTTAATTCCCTGGTGTTTTGCTTTTTTTTAGTAACTAGATTTACAGTTGTTAGTTCTGTGACTGCTCAAACTTGTCCATTTTTGGTTGCAGATTTTTAATTTCTTTTTTCTCCTTAGAACTTTTTAAATGAATCAAAAATAGCTAAAGGATTAACTTAGTTTAGTTGGCGGTTGGTTTTTTTTTTCTTCATTTGGTAATGGATCTAGCTTCCTTAAAATAATTTGAAAATTTCTGTCTCATTCATTTTAGTTCTTAAAGCCGTTGAGTTCCTTTAGATTTTTTTGTTGTCATCCCTTTCTCCTTGATCTTTAACTGACTGAGTGCATTCTTTCTATTCCATTCTCAGCACAGGATTTCTTTGATTTCAAATTTCTGAGCACATCACTGAGGCCAGTCAACTCTTTATTTCTGCTTTTTTTTTTTTTTTCAAGAAGAAATTTTGTCTGCTTTGCATTAATTTGTTAACTTATGTGTTGATTTAAGGGGACTCCAAATCCAGATTTGCAAGTTTAGCCCTTTAATGTTTGACTAGAATTCTCAATCTCTCCTTTTTGAATTTATTTGGTATCTTTTTGCCCTAAATAATGTGTACCAAGCCTATGTAATTATGTTGCTTTCAACATTCCTCCATTGCATTTTAACCTGAAATGATTATTTCATATTGTGCTATAGTAGACCACTGGAAGCTTCTCCTCTAATTAATTAATGCTTTTCCATCTTCTGGATCATTACATGATACGTGATTTTCTGTCTAGGTTTTGGCTGTTCCAGCTACTTCAGTCTTCCATGAGGTCTGTGGGGCTCTGAACACAGATCTCAGTAAAGCTCTTCCACAGCCAGTTCATCAAAGCAATGACAATCATGAGGTCAGCAGCCGCTTCTCTTTAAGTTTGTTCATTATCTTTTTTTAATCTATTGATCCTTGACATCATATTTTCAGTGCGGCCTGCATCTTTTTTTCAGGTGCAGTTCCCATGTGATCTGTTGTTCTATAATTGCTAGTTAACCGTATGGTATTTGCTCATAGGTGAGACACTGCAGTCTTACTTTCACATTTCTGCTATTATTTTTTCCCTATAGTTCTGTTTCTGTTTTCTTCCATAAGTACTTATTCCTCATTACTTTTTCTTACATTACAGGAACTAACAACATTTTACCTGTGACCCTGCCAACATTTTATTTCAGTTCTGAAGTTCCAGCCTGTCTTTTTCTGTTACATGGTCTAATTAACCTTTCTAATATTTATCTTGGAGTTTGCATTGTCTTTTTCACACCTTGTAAGATGCTGTCAGAAATGTAGCACTTTTTGCAATTGTATTAGCTAATATACTGAAATATACAGTATCTCTTTCTATAAACCTTGCTTCTCTCACACCCTTAACGAAAACACAGATACAATGAAGCTGTTCTTATAATAATGCTGTTCTTCTTATATTCATATGGTATTCTAATTTTGCAGTCTTCATAATGCTCTTGATTTATGCAGCCAAGTGAAATAGCTTAATGATATTTGACTTCATTTCATACAATCTAAAAGTGAATTGCTGCTAAAAATCACTATTCTCCATCCACCTTTTGCATTCCATTCCATCTTTGCATGAGATCTAATGATTATATGACCTTAGGATAAGTTGCATCATCTTGCTGGTTTAGCAGAAAATTATTATATGTGAATTATTACTTTCCTATGTGATTTGTTGTTCTGACTCATAATATGAGTGCACAGTTTGCCACTAGCTGTGCAGTGGGGTTTCAGGGAGACCAGAGGTAACCTGCAGTTATACAAAGTTAAATAAAGAAATGTGCCTGTATTACCCTTCCATGAAAAACTGTCAGAATTTGGGATTGAGTTTTTGAGTTTGTTGAAGTTTGGAGTAGAACCTACACTGACATGAGTGGATGTCAGTATTTCATCTCCTTTAATGTTGAAATTGAGGTAGCTTGAGCATCTCTCTTCAGGAAACAAAAAATTGTTTATTAACTTTTGATTCTTTTCTTTATAATATCTAATCTTACCTTTTTAGGAAATTGTGTAAATGCTGATTTTGACCAACTTCTGATGTATTTGTTCAATTGCAGGAGACAGCAGTATCAAAAAATCTCGGTTTAATTTATTAATTCTTTTAGAAAACATTTGTTTCCTATAAAAGGATTGGTTGTGTAGAAAGAAAATGATGTGTCATACCAATCTGCTGATAAGTGCATTTTCTTCTTGTCCTTTCTCTGTTATCACACAGATTTTATTTTCCTGATGCTTTTGCTGCACATTTCAGCATTTCTTTCCAGTTTTTCTCCATTTTTATCTTTAGTCGTAGCTTTCTGTAATTAATGCAGTCCACAACCCACACTGTGTGAAGCACAGAGGTGTTATTTATCCACCTTAATTGATGTCCTATGACTTGTTGGCAAAACAATGGCATATAGGGAGCCTGCTTTGGCAGGGAGGTTGGACTCGATAGTCTCTCGAGATCCCTTCCAACCCCTATATTTCTGTGATTCTGTGATACAGCAGGAGATCGTGGTCAGCAGCTCTGTAGGTGTGTATCCTGCTGAGGGGCACATACACATACGGTTTTCTGTCTGTAATCAAATAGCTTTTGTGTTGCCTCTTTCTATTTTTACTTCTACACATCTTTCTGTTTTACTCATATGAGGCTATTATGGGACAGTATGTGAGCTAGGCAATGAGAAAATTCTACCAATTCTTTATCCACCAAATAGTCCAGCCTTCGTACCCATATCTCTCCAATTTAGAGATTAAGATGCAGTATAGGACCACATCAAAGCCCTTTCAGAAGTCCAGGTAAGTGACATCGCATGATCTGCCCTTAATGGAGCCATGCTGCCTGTCTCAGATAACATTATCAAAGGTTGTTCTGAAAGCAAGGCCAACGTTATCTGGGACAGATAATGGTCAGTGAGAGAAACATGCTTAAATATCCTGAAGTGTTTCTGGCACATTTGCTTCTTTCTGGTTCTGGTTTGGAACAAGTGCTATGAGTTAGGGGAATATTACATATCTAAAATACGCAATAATATGCTGTTAATATGGTGTTTTTCAGTACTATCTTACAAATGGTGTTTTCAATAATTTACCTGTTAGTAACCTCAAATGTATGAATTTGTATTTATAGTCTGCCTATTATCCTAGAGATGAGACCCACCACTAATCTGTTTTATTTACTTGCTTTCATCTGTTATTAGAATTCCTTCAATTACTTACTAGAATTCCTTCAGAAGTCATATATATCTGCAGAAACAGAAAACAAGCATCAAGTTGTATGATAAAGATTGATATTTGTATTGCTTTTTAACATTATTCCAGAAATATTACAGTTGATACCTTCAGTGGTTTTATATCATTGAATGTGATGTAAGAAGTAAAATAACTACAATGTTCATAGTTTTGGTGCTTGTAAAATTAGGCTGTTCTTATTTTTTAAGGTTACTCATCATCCACTCTTCTGTCTGTACAGCATAATAGCTAACGTGAATGTTCATAAAACTGAGAAACAGAGTAAAGTTCTTTTGTCATTATATTTAATTTGTTTTGTACCATATTCCAGGAAGATGCGCAGGTGCATTAATGAGCTTGATTTTTGACTGTGCACCACAGCTCTAGACATCTTAGGCTCAAGACAGAGAGAGTTGTGATTGAAACACATCAGCAGTAAACTGAGTTATCATCAGTAATAGTGAAGACTGATTACGACTGAAAAGAGCACACTGATGCAGGATTAGTCCTCTCGTGCTTACAGTAACTATAATGAAAAAACAAGTTTTAGTAGTAGCAGATCATTTCCTGTGTTATTTCCACTTTCGATCTGTCCGGCTTACCTTCATTGGAATTCCACTTTTATGTAATCTTAGATGACGCTCTATCTGACAGTATCTTCTGCTGTTATTGGCTTATTTTCTAGATGGGAAGTGATGGAGTTTTGCGCCTCAGTAGTTCTGCTCTAAACAATGAATTCTTTGCGTATGCAGCACAAGGGTGGAAACAACGATTGGCAGAAGGTAACTTTTTATTTGCTCTCAGATTTACCAAAGAATAATTATTTTCATGAGGAAAGCCACCGCTTCTCCATTCGAGGATTACATTAACAAGGGAAAGAGTAATTCAATGGTAACTGAGCACAATGAACATTGCTGATTCCGTTTTGAATTTAGTCTACATTATCACAACTTGCTGTGACAGTTTATACTGACTGTTAGAAAGAAAAAAAAGACAACAACACATTTTCATCACTGCCAAACCTCGGAAATGTAAATGCAAGTGACTAAATCCCACCAATATAGTTTCAGGATAGTGAAGTTACATGGTAAAGCAAGTCTTGCTACTTCACACTCTTGTTTTTCAGTGTATTCATTGGAGATTGTTGGATGATCAGAAATCACTGTTCATCATCTGTGTAGCTGTAGTGTATAATTATTCATGAAACTAATCGACAACTTTTATTCAATATTAGTATTTGTTTTGTAGGAGAATTTACTCCAGAAATGCAATTGCGTATCAGACAGGAGATGGAAAAGGAAAAGAAAACAGAGCCTTGGAAAGAAAAATTCTTTGAAAGGTTTTATGGTGAAAAGTAAGTATTGAAGCAAATAAAAGAAAATGAAAAAAATGCTTTTAGGAGCAAATGAAAATATAATTCTCTGCTTCACATAGCACAGTTATATGCTGTAAAACTTAATAAAATGGTTATCAAAGGCATCATTCCCTGATATAAGAAGTTGTGGGTAGAATTATAGTGGCACATCTGCACTTGCATTACAATTGCGTTTTTAAAGGTTCATAACTCATCCATAAAAATTCATTTCAAGGAAGGCTTAAGACACAAGGCTCAAGCATGTGAGTATTTTTTAATTATCTTTTAAAAGATGAGATTAGGTCTGTTCTTAGTGCAAAATATAAATGCAGCTTCTTCAGACTAGAAGACTAGTGGAAATATTTCTTTGTGGTTTTTTTCTTTCGTTTTTTTCTAAGCTAGTTGTCATTTTTTGAATCAAGTAGTTCTTAGTGTTTGACAGAGATGGCCTTTCACACAGACTGTACAGCGGAAGAGATACTGGATAGAGTCATATAAAAATGACAACTAGTCTAATTTTAGAAGTGAGATGCAAAGGATAAATAGATGCCCATAATTGGCTAAAATGAATTCGATGATATTGCTCCAGGTGTTCCACTGCGCAGAGTCAGCATGATTTGACTGAAGCAGAGATGGCATTCTGCAGAAGCATGATGTTTAATCCTTAATTCTGCTTTAAGAATCAGAATTTCAAAGAGATTCACATCTCTTAAAAATTGTAAAATCTTCCTTTTGAAATTTGTTTTTAAAAAGTTAATCTGTCCACCTTTTAAATCAGACTTCAATTTTAAAAAATACATATTAAAAATCTTCATCATTATAAAACAATTAATTAGAAGTTACTATTTTCTTATTTTCATATATGAGTAAATGAAATTTATGAATTACACATAGTAGCCAAAAGAAACATCACATGAGATTTCTTAGTTTTGTTATTAGATGCTTTTTGCTTAAGAAATCTGAGACACTGGAAAACCTGAATATGAGTGGTTGACTTAAAGATAAGGCATTAACTGAAATGTTTCTGCAGTAACAGTGCTACTTCTCAATCCAGTGCTTTGGGATATTGGGAAATGTGGTGAAAACAAGGCAGGAAATGGACAGATACATTTTAATATTTTATTTTTCAGTCCTTTCTAGGTGCTTTCTCGAAGTGTGAATACTACTACACAATGTTATCTTTAAAAATAATGGAGATTCTAAGGTCTTAGCATTGCTTTGTTATTGTCAAGTGCTTCATTTTTTACTTACAAGTTTTGAGACCTTGATTTATTGATTCCTGTAGCATCAGAAAGTATTTATTAGGTTTTTACTAAGGGCTTTTCATTATGTGTATCAAGACAACTCAGTTAACATCTCCTTATGAAGGAAAAGGTTGTGAATGTATTAACAAAGGACCTTCCACAACTAGAAGTTTAGTAAGAGCAAAGCTCTATTTGAAGACTGTTGTGAAGACAAGACACAAATGACTGTCATATGCACAGAGAATGGTACTCTGAATTTTACAGAGCCATCAGTCCTGCTGTGCTAGCTGAATGCTGGACACTGTAATGGTTGGCAGATAATTACTCAGTCTGCAGTAATATGTGTCATTTGGAAGATAAGTTCCTGACATCAGCATTGTTATGCAAAATGTCATATCACACATAATTTCCATTGCTTACTAGAGTGTTGAATGTGTTTCCTCCTGCTCTTTCTCTAACATACATTATTTGACTCTCATCCTTCTTGGTTAATATGTAGGCAGCTTCTACTGCTTTGCTGCTTGGCCTGATGTAATTATTATTCCTATTATTAACTGTCTCTCTGGTAACTTTTCCTGCTGTTTCCCTTGCCTTTTTTTGACTTAGTTATTTTTTTAAAACTTGGTTTGAAGATGATTGGGCTTCATCTATTTTCAGTCATGTTGATTTATCTGAAGTAGCAGATTTTGAAAACTTCCTGAGCAATTTCTCAGATTTGTCATCTGTCTTTCTAACTTGCTTTCCAACCAATCTGCAGTCTTGCTCTGACTTCAGCTAATTTGATCATTAAATATTCCATAACTGATTAAAGTTTCACCTCATACCTAGAGAAGAATCATTAATATATGCAGAGTTTTGGAAAACATTTTTATGTGGCATTCAGTGGCTTTAGAGTGCTTCTTTCATGTAGGCTATGTGCATTATATTTTTTGTGTTTCTCTCTCTGCCCAGGCAGCTGGGCATGAGACTACCAGTTGTAGTTCACTTTCATCAATTTATGTTCATTTTCCATTTTCTCATGTCGTTCATTTTCCTCTCCTGGACTTAATTTAAAACATAGAAACTTCATTCTGCAGTCATTTATCTAGGATCAGCTGATATGTGTTGCCAGAAATTTGTATTCTTCTGGCTTATGCCCCTAGGACTACAAGGGTTATGTTCTATTGTCTCAATATATTATTTCCTTTCCCAGTCTTGAGTGCGATACGTGTCAGGACTGGCACTGTCAGCTCACTAAATCAGAGGTTTCATTTGGGGCAGACTTCTTCTGAATTTTATTGCTGATATAATCCTTCATTAATTTTCTTTAATTTTCTCTAGTACTACTTATCGCAACACTAGAGTATCAGCATTAGTATATTCTTGAGTAGCTGTTTGTGTCTTTTACCATTTGATAACTGTCTGCCTTTATCAATTGAATCCTGTACTTATCAGCACTTTTCACTGATGGCTGTTTACTGCTGTTCTTGTATTTCTCTGCTCTTTTGCAAAGTTTCAATGTCTGTTTCTCTAAGGAGAAAGACAGATCAGCTGTTTATCTTGCAATCTGGGATTGCCTTAAACATCCTGACCTTGAGCCTTCTTCTTTTGAAAGTATTTTTTCCTTCATGGCGATATCTTTTTCAAAATAGTGATATTTGCAGTTCTGCATAAAATTGAAAAACTGATTGATGTGTTCTGCTGACCTTAATCCTACACTCATATTTTTCTACACTTCCTCCTTTTTAATATATTACTTGAGTGTGTATATTTGAGCAGTGCCCATGTGGCAGTTGCATTGACCTTTATTGTGTATTTCATTCCTTTGCTGTTTTTTCATTCCATAAAAACAAATATCATGCAATATCTTCCATGATGTAAGCTAGCCAGAGAAAATATAACAGTGGCTCAGTTTTCTGCAATGCACTATATTTTCCCCTTTATTTTCCTGAGATAACTTTTTCTTATATGCACAAGAAAAGGAATTTATTCACATATACCCAGGTAAACTAAACTTTACTCACCTAAACTTAAAATCTAAGCTTAAACTGTATAGGGAACCTATAGTCTATATACAAGAAATACGTATCTCAGAAATGCATTCAATATGGGGAATGTAAAATAGCTGTTCTGAATTACTCTCTGGAGGATCCTCCCTCAGCACATTGATGGCACAGGGAGACTTTGTGCCTATTAACTGACTAGCAGTAGGCAATATTAATAACAACCTTGGGAGTGCTTTTTTCGTACCATTTCCAGGCTGTGGATTTTCTTCTCTACACCTGTCAGCGTGAATAATGCATCCGATCAGTATTTTTTAAAAACATAATCACAGATTGCATCTTTTTACATACTTTTTCTGTTCTTCCATATACGTGGGCCTTTGTAATCTCTGTTCCCACTGGCTGCCCATTGGTATGTTCTCCTTCTTCCGTATATCTGAGTATCTTTCACGCTCGCTTACTGCCATCTTGTTATTCAGTTACTTTGTTTAAACTGAGAACAGAGATCAAACTCCTCTTGATTAGATTTTAAGATCCTTAAGACCATGACAACTTTTTAAGTCCTCCAACGAAACTTTTGTGTATTTTCTACTGTTGTGGAATCACTCAAGCGCAAAATTTATTTGGAAGATCTCACTAAAGGTGCTTGAAGACCTGCTCTGCTGTCCATAGCAGGAAATAAGGATGTCAAAGACCAAACGTTTTTAAAAATAACCACTTTTTTTTCGCCATTAACTTTTCTTTTGTTTTGATTTTTCTTTCTGTTGAAGCAATAAAAATGTATTAAAACTATGGTTTCAGGAGCAAAGGTAAGTGAATCTTCAGAAGACAAGTATACAAAGGAATGCAGTTTTCTGCATTTCATCCTTGAAAATGAATGCATTCATTATAAATATCTTTTATCTCCTTAGGAATGTTATTGTTAATTACAGTGAAATCAATTGAAGAGCATATACACAGAAATGTTTATTTAGAAATAATTTTTATCCTAAATGAATATTTAGTTTGCTGAAAGAATGGAGCAGAAACACTCAAGCTGTCAGCTGATCGCTTGACTAGTAAAATGAGACTGAAGCAGAATGATTTTGATTTTCATGATAAATGTGAAATGATTGTAGAATTGCAAAACTGAAATGCCTCATTTGTTGTCTTGGTTTTAGCTGCAGCTTTTTCATTTTCACACAGCATTTAAGCCATAGTGCTGGTTGTGTTGACCCTAAATGCAGGTAGAGGAGGAAAAAATGAATTTCCTTTAGAACTGTTACTGACTTATGAAGGCACAGTTATGCATTTCCTCTTCATTGTTGGCAGTGTTAGAATTGCAGTGTTGGGCTGATATTAAAATATATATATATATATATATATATGAGTAGCTGTGAATCTATATAACTCGCATTTTTTTGTGGCTTTTTTTTTTTATATTTTTTTGTTGAAGTACCAATTAGTTAAATAACGAGGAATAGATTATTTATTTTCAAAATATTTAAGTTTTTAACACTACTAAGGCAAGCTGGGTAATTCATTTTCCAAAATATATAAAGCCATATCTACAACTGTACAAATTAGTCAGCCACCACTTAGCCAAACCACTATTTTAAACTGAGTAGTGTGCCCTTTTTTTGTAAATGGAAGACATGAGTGAGAAAGGAGATTCTACTTCTTTACCATATCTTTGATGAAAAAACCTTTTTTAATAAATTTGTTTGTTTGTTTGTTTCAGATTGGGAATGTCAAGAGGGGAATCTTTGAAACTCACTACAGTGCAGAACAACAATGAAGATGACAGCAATTCTTTGTGTGGATCTTCTGGCACACCTGGTCCTTCTAAGCAAGCAACCTTTGAGGAACGTGAACAAAAAGACACTAAAACTCCAGCACTACCAGAAAAAGATAATGGTCCATCTCTTTGTGATATGGAGCAGGTTCCTGTCAAGAATCTTGTGGCAGAGACAGAGGATATACTGATACCTGAGGAATCAATAATTCAGGAGGAGATTGCTGAAGAGGTTGAGACTAGTATTTGCGAATGCCAGGAGGAGAACTATAAAACAGAACAGGAGTTTTCTGAGGAGTCAGAAAGTCCATCTGGAACAAATGAAGAAACAGAGGCAGTGCAGCTTCCAGACAACGCTGAGTCCTGTGTCATGATGAATGATGTAACTGATACTGCATCTCACATTGAAATGAAAGTGGAGTTGAAGTCAGAATGCCCTCAGGAGGAGATGTCTGTTGTGATAGATCAGCTGGAGGATTGTGTATCACCAGCACGATCAGCTTCATCCACAAATTCTGTCAGTGATACAGTAGAGAAGGATTCTGATTCTGCAAAAGAGCTAATTGCTTCAGAAATGCAAAATGCTGCTCTGGAGGGTTCTTTGTTCACTGGTGGGGGCATTGCAGTGGATATGGAGCTTCAAAGTGACCCTGAGGAACAGTCATCTGAGAATGCTTGTATTTCTGAGACTTCCTTTTCCTCTGGAAGTCCAGAAGGACCGTGTGTTTGTATTACATCTCCTGGAGGAGATACTCAGTCAACTTCAGAGGAACCCTGTACCCCAGCATCTCTTGAAACAGCTTGTTCATCTGAAGTGTCCAGTACTGAAAACACTGATGGTGATATTCAGCAAAAGGCCACTGATGAGAACTTGCATACACCTTTAATGTCAGAAATCTCTCCAATGTCCACCTCACCTGTAACCTCAGAAGCATCTCTGATGTCAAATTTACCTTTAACATTAGAGGCGTCACCAGTTTCTAATTTACCTTTAACATCAGAAACATCTCCAATGTCTGATTTACCTATAACATCAGAAACATCTTCAGTATCTTCTGTCCTTCTGACTTCTGAAACATCTGTGGCAAATAGTTTGCCTCTTCCATCAGAAACATCTCCCATTTCAAATTCCCCAAGCAACGAAAGACTTATTTTGCAACAAAGGAAATCACCATGTGTGTCAGAAGAGTCACTCCCTACTTTAAAAGAAGAAACCACCATTCCTAAGGTGGTTCAAGAAGAGAATCTTGTTGTTCAACCAAAGCAACTTCAGAGTGCACCTGAAAATTTGAAAGTGGGTCCACTAACAATTATACCTGATACTTCAGCACTGGAAGAGCCCCAAAACAAAAACCTTTGTCATCAGCCATGTAAGTCACATTCTGAAATTGAGAAATCCTACATTGCTTCCATCCCAGAACACTCCTCCCCTCCAGAGGTGATCAAAATTAAAAATCACAGTATTCAGCAACGAGGTGACAAGAAGGGCACTCTCTTGCCTTCAGAGGTAGCTGTCTTACCAGAAGGATCAACAGGCAAAAATATTGAACTCTTTCCATCAAAGCAACATGAAAAGCTATATACCTCATCTCTAGATAAATCTTCATTCTCCGAAGTGTGCAGAAGTAAGTCTCATAAGCTAACAGGCGGTGCCCAAAGCCGCCTAGAGAGTTCGCATTCCTCCAAATCATTAGAAACCACAAAATCACCTGAAGTGAGGAATGAAAGTAGAGACCCAGAGATCCCAAAGAGGAAAACAGCAGAACAGCACAGTTTTGGAATCTGCAAAGAGAAGAGAGCTAGGATAGATGATGATCAGCCTAATCGTAGTGCTTCATCAACAAGTCCATCTGATAAAGATCAGCCACTCAGAGAAGAACCCCGAGTTCCACCCCTTAAGGTAAAGTAATGAAAACCATGCTGACTAAGAAACTGGAGGTTTACTGTTTCCCTTCTGCTGACTGCCTGCAGACCCAAAGCATAGTGAAGGATATTTGAAGGAGGGAAGATTTAGGTTGGATGTTAGGGGGAAGTTCTTCACAAGGAGAGTAGTTAGGCCCTGGAACGGGCTGCCCAGGGAGGTTGTGGATGCCCCGTCCTTGGACGTGTTCAAGGCCAGGTTGGACGGGGTCCTGGGCAACCTGATCTGAATGTGTATGTTTGGTGGCCCTGCCAGGCAGGGGGGTTGGAACTACATGATCCTTGAGGTCCCTTCCAACCCGGGTGATTCTGTGTGATTCTGTGAATTTTTGTACGGGTGTGAAAGACCTAAGTGACCTAGGTGCCAACCTCTTTGCTTTACTATCCTTACCATGCCAAATTATATCTGATTTAAATATACCTGTAGTTGTTCAGCCAGGGTCTTTGCTACAGAGCGCCTCTGTGTGAGACTAAATTTCCAGAATCTTTGGCTTAATCTGATTAAAGAGCTTCCATGTCATTTATTCAGTGCTGCTTGTCTTTCTTTCTAATTGCCAACTATATTGTCCATTTGTTCTCCCACAGATGAGTTCTCCAGGAAACGTGAATAATAAACCATAGGTATTACTGAGAAAAACAATCTGTGCCTTAATCTATCAAGAGAACCTAAAGTCAGAGTAGTTGGAGATCCCATTGCAAGTCCAGGGCTTGGGGTAGGCTGAAGTATAAGATTTCTAATTTTGTAGTGAAAACCACAGGGCTTGCCATCAGGAGGAAGTGTCTTCGATGTATGTATAAATTGATGTATGTATAAATATCTGTTGAAGGCAAAGCAAAAGATAAAAAGGGTACTCTAACTAAGCTCTTTTAAAGGTGTCCTTCTGCTATGTAAGAACATCTATTCCACTTGAGAAGCATTTTTTTCTAACAAAGGGATTTCTTGATTTAGTTATATATAGTCCCAGTGTTTTGACCTTTTTAGTTTTCTACATGATGGCATCACCCAAATTTCAGATCCAATTTGCTGAACTTAAGCCACTGACTTTGCAATACTAGTTCCCGATTATTCAGAAATGCCCTTTTCTGCATTTATTTTTAACTGCTGCAATCACTGAAAATGGTTAATATGTCCAGGAGGGCAAATAGGCTAACTGTTTTAATCACTAGTTCGGCAGCTTATTTCAACTAATTTATTTTTATGAGCAGTGATGCAATTGGAAGTTAGCCTGTTCTGAGTTTTACTGATATTCTTTCGTATTTGGAAAGTCTTTATCTAGCCTAATAAATTCTATTAATTCTCTATAGCCAAAGGAATGTAGATCACTAGGGAAGAAAAAAAGTCATGGCTATAATTGTAAAAATAATCAAGCACTTAGAGCTTTAGCAGTTCTGGTGATTCAAAGTGGGAAACGGGGAAAAAAGGACACTGAGAAAGAAAGCAAAATGTTTTTAAGTTGTTGTGAGCTTGCAGTACTCTTTAAAACTTGTTAATATAAATTTTAATTGATCTGTTCAACAACAGAGGAACAAACCTGATGATGAAAGGTGTTAGTTACAAATAATAACCCTATTTCTTATGTAATATGCCAAAGAGGGGTAAACAAAGTCAGAATTCACCTTCCGATGAGTGTTCAGTGGCATTAACTGCTAGGAAGAGTGAAATATTCCAGTCCTCTGTGTGAGTCCATCAGCTGGGCTGTCTGAAGACCGTCAGTCTTGCACAGTCATATCAAACAAGACCTGATGGCTCCAAGCAGTGAATGAGGATATTAAAACTTGGCAGGCATTTCCAAAAATAACTGAACGATCATTTCAAGATGGTTTTTTTTGTGGAAAAACTATTTGCTTTTGGGTTATCTCACCAACAAACCACTTTGCTTGTTATTGAAAGAGAGGAAAGAACCTCCTTTCTCCTAAATCTGATAAGACTTTCACTTGCTGTCATACCTTATGGCTACTTTTGTTAGAAATAATACTATGTAGGTTTTTTTTCCAGCTCCTTTCAGGAAAGAAGTGATCACACTAAACACTAAATCCTATTACTGTGGACAGTCAGTAAATCTATGCCCTTTTTAAAAAAATGAAATGTTCTCTTGCCAGGCTTTGGGCATTCTAAAAGAGCATACAAGTTACAAAGTGATTCCAGGACTTCTAATCTCTAACCCTGAAAGCGGGTGTGCCTAATTAGAAAACATACAAATAATCATAGTGATTCTAGAGATTATTACTTTGCTTAAAGGTTTTGGTATTTAATGTCTTGTTTGCACTTTTAATATTTGAAGGTTTGAGATTTTCGTTTTTGAAATGCAGTAGTGTAGGAGGTATTCCAGGGATGTACTAAAGTGAGTTTCTTAAAATTCTAGTTGAGGATGAGAAAGATGTATCCTTGGTGATTCACTTCTTTTATAGTACTCTAAAGTGCTCTGTGATATAATGTGAAAAACAAGCTCAGTGGTTGTACTGGTGCTACTTCTACATCCTGTCTAGAGGCAAGATTTGTTGCCTGGTATGTAAGGGGAATACAGGCTGTTCCTGATGGCTTAGTCACTGGAGGCTAAGGAGCAAAAGCACTGCACTGTTGTTATTTTTTCATGTGTTTGTAGCAAATGCTTAGTACTTTCCCAGTATTATTGCACTAGGCCTGTTCATCTTCTCAGTTAGACGCAGATAGAACAGAACTGATAAACTGTGTCAGATAAGCATCATGTAGTCCTCCAGTTCAGTCTTTCTTCCTGTCAAGAAAGCAGCATGAGTAGGCTAAAACAGGTGTAAGTTTGTGCTGCTGGACAACGGGAAAATAATGCAGTGCAAACATCATTACTTTCTAACATTTTTCTGTCCAGTGGCTCTGAACAGTAATTCCCTTCATCACCTTGTTCTGACCCTTGTAAGAGACAACAAGTGACGCTAACTAAAGTCGTTGATCTGATTCAATTTATTGTTTTTCTTTTCTTCCTTTAGATTCAACTTTCAAAAATTGGACCACCTTTTATCATCAAGAGCCAACCTGTTTCAAAACCAGAACCTCGAGTTTCCCCAAGTACATCGGTCAGCAGTGGAAGGAACACTGGGGCTAGAACTCTTGCAGATATCAAAGCAAGAGCTCAGCAAGCACGAGCCCAAAGAGAAGCAGCAGCTGCAGCAGCTGTGGCCGCAGCTGCAAGCATTGTCTCTGGAGCAATGGGGACTCCATGCGAAGGTGGGAAGACAAGAACGCTGGCACACATCAAGGAACAAACAAAGGCCAAGCTATTTGCAAAGCATCAAGCCAGAGCTCATTTACTCCAGACTAATAAAGAATCAAAGTCACAGTTCAACTCAAAGGAAAGTACCTCATCTCTAGAAGTATCAGCGTCTACTGATACAAAGATTGAAGGTTCTACTGGTGTCATTATAGTTAATCCTAACTGCAGGTCCCCTAGCAACAAATCTGCTCATCACCGTGAGACTACCACTTTATTACAGCAGTCACTTAACACAGCTACATTACCAGAAACTGCTATTGAGATACCGGTGCACAGTTCTGATGAGAATATACCTATGCCACAATTGTGTGAGAAAATTATTTCATCTACCTCTACTGAAAGTAACAGTGTGAACAGTGTGCCAGTGCTTTATAATAAAAGTTCAGTCTCTGTGTCTGTTTGCAGCACTGCTATGTCTGGAGCAATTAAAGAACTTTCTTTTGCAAGTTCTGTTGATAAATCCTCTGTTTTAATGTCTATTGACAGTGTGAACACAGCAGTTTCAGCTTGTAATATGAAAATGCTGAAATCCATCCAAGGGGCTGATACTCCATGCATAGCCGTTGGACCAAAATGTATTGATAACAGTAATGTACCGGTCTCCATAGACAGTACAGTTTTATCAAATGCCGTCGATGATAAAAGGTTGCCAATACCAAGTAGCAATGCAAATAATGCAGTCTCCGGTCATTATGCCGCTGTGCCAGCTTCATCCATTGCAAATAACTTGCCAAATCATCTCTCTGGTAGTTCTGTGTTGATTCCCCCAGTGGGGACTACCACCAGATTTTCTTCTGATAAGATAGCCATAACAGGGTGTAACGAGCAAAGCGCTGTTTCCATCCACACTACCGTCAGGTCAGCTTTAAGTTGCGGTGAGGCTGTTGCAGTAGCAGATTCTATCTCAAGGCCACCCATTTCAATGTTTACTGGTAACATGGTGACAATAAGCTCCTACGATAATGCTACTAAATTAAATGCTGATCTCTTAGACAAAAGTTCTGGAGCACGAAACCGAATGGATCTCTCGGGTAAATCTCAGCCAGTGAGCTATACACAAACTGCCATGAATAGATCTATACCTTGCAAAGTCATTGTTGACCACACTACAAATTTGAATTCCAGTCTGTCGCTTTCTTCTTCAATTGAAAATGCAGAGAACAGCACTGACCTGCAGAGCAGACCTGTGCGGACAGAAGCTGCCTTACAAAGTATAGCCTGTTCTCAGGTGTCTGTAATAAGCAGGCCTGAAGTAGTCTCTAATGAAAGCCTTGAGCACAGTTCCAGCTTTATCAACATTACAGCAAAGCAAGACAGCAAGAACTTGCAGGCAGGTTGTTCAAGTCTTCGAGAAGTGCCACTTGCTCCCCAGGATAAATTAATTGAGGTGGTTACTCCCAGCCAAGGTTTTTCTGAGCAGTTAAGAGGTCCTTCAGCATTTAAAAATGAAGCAGATGCTGCCTGTGTCAGTCAGTATAGCACTAACAATAGAATTTGTTGGCATGATGAAGAGGCAATGAGCACAGACCAGCCGGTGGTCAGCCATCTTAATGCCAGTAAGCATAAGGAATATGCAGAACAAAACTGCTTAAAAAGTGTCAAAACTGAACCTTCCAGTTACACGCAAATGTCAGAGCTGCAGTCCAGGAATCTTTTGACAAGCCTTGCTGTTCCTGTTAAATCTGAAACTAACGAGTCTGACAAGTGCTTCAGGATGGACACAGAGGATTTCACAGGCCCTGAAATGGCCGCCCAACCCACAGAAATAGCCCCAAGCGCTCAGCCAGCACAGGCCGCCAAGGCACCCATTGCGGATTCCATGGATGACTCCCTGTCCCTGACAACAGAAACCCTCAAAAGAGTTACAAGTGCTGGGGGCTCAAGCTGTCGCCTCTCATCAGTGGAGGCCAACAATCCTTTAGTGACACAATTACTGCAAGGCAATCTGCCTTTAGAGAAAGTGCTGCCGCAGCCCAGATCAGGAGCCAAACTAGAAATTAGCAGGCTTCCCTTGCCTTTGCAAACTACCTCAGTATGTAAAACAGCGGTGTCCGACAGAAATATTGGTGAGCATCCTTCCAGTTCTCCTAACCCAGATGGTAAAGGATTTACAGCAGGCAGCATAGCCCCGCTACAAATCAGAAAGCGTGAAAACCATCCGAAAAAGAGGATGGCCAGGACTATAGGGGAACATGCTCAAATTAAATGCGAGCCTGGGAAGGTGTCAATGGACAGCGATGTTAAAGCAACTCCTTGTGTAATTAGTTCCAGCATGAACCAGCTAGGGCATGGGCAGCCATTTAAACAAGAGTGGCTGAACAAACATGCAGTTCAGAGCCGCATCGCTCACAGCCCAGAGATCAAGCAGCAGAAGAGGCCATTGCCTTCGTGCAGTTTCCAGCAGAGCTTATTTCACATTGATAAAAACGGCAGCTTTCATGCGGAAGCTAGTACCTCACATAGACAGCATTTTTACCAAATGTCCATGGCTGCGAGAGGCCCAATTCCCACGGCATCTTTGTTGCAAGCTACATCAAAAGGCCCACCTGGCTGCAATGCGTTTGCTTTTAGCAGACACCTGGAACAGAAGAGCTTGGGAGATGGGAATATTTCTACAGCAGCGCACCAGCTGAGGCTAGGAAGTGTCTTTTCCCCTAGTATTCAGATTAAGGAAGGTGATGACATTGCCAGTGCCTCTCAGACGCTCCAGAGTAAAACCTTAGTGCATCCTCCCCCTCCACCACCACCCCTGCCCCCACTTCCCCCTTCTCACCCAAATGTAGATGTCCCCTCTGATCAAAAACAACCGACAGTTACTATGGAAACCACAAAAAGACTTAGTTGGCCTCAGCCAGCAAGCATCTGTAGCAATATAAAATCTGAACCTGTTTCTTTTGAGGAAGGTTTAAGCAGCAGCTGTGAACTGGGCATGAAACAAGCTTCCTATGATCAGAACGAAGTGAAAGAACAGTTAAAAGCATTTGCATTAAAGAATGCAGATTTCTCTTCCTATTTACTCACTGAGCCACAGAAGCCTTTTACCCAACTTGCTGCTCCAAAAATACAGACGCAGCACCCGCAGCCACAGCAGCAGCAGCAGCAGCAGCAGCAGCAGCAGCAGCAGCAGCAGCAGCTCTGTGGAAGTTATCCAACAATACACTTCGGTAGCACAAGCTTCAAAAGGGCAGCATCTGCAATTGAGAAATCGATTGGGATGTTAGGAAGTGGCTCGAACACTGCCATGGGCCTGTCTAACCAGAACGTGCAGATGCCGGTTCAGAAATTTTCTGACAGTAGCAATGCCGATGAACTGGAACTGAAATGCTCTTGCAGGCTGAAAGCCATGATCGTGTGCAAAGGCTGTGGCGCCTTCTGTCATGATGACTGCATAGGGCCTTCCAAACTGTGTGTAGCTTGCCTGGTTGTACGGTAGAGACTGGGTCAAAGATGCAGTATCCCTTGTCAACGCGGGAGAATAGGGCAGAGGAATGGAGGGATGGAACAGTTTAGGCCATTAACAGTTTGCAATTAGTTGTTTGGCTGTTTATTTTTGTTATTTTTTTCCCCCTCTTGGTGCTTTCAGAATTCAATTATTCTGGCCTAAGTGCCATTTGCAGGAAAGAAGAGGAAACCTGTAGGACTAGTTTAAAAAAAACTGAGAGCTTTGCCACCAAAGCTTCTATGAGCATTCATGCTATGTTATGAAAAGATTAAAAAAAAAAAAAAAAAAAGGCGTTATTGCATGGCATTCCTAGCTCCTATTTATTTGCACAAAGTGCAGCACATTTCCCCCCACTTTTTTGATTGTTGATAGAAGCTACCGGTTAAAGATCAGTGGAAAATTAACTCTACGAGAAATGGAGTACTATGCAGAACTGCACACTGCATGCCAACTGCCTATCATGTGGGCAGGGTGTGCACATTGGTCATGGTAGCCTCTCAGTTACTTTGCAGTTTTTCTGCTAATTGAATTGTTTTTTTAAAACTTGTACTGTCTAGACCTAAAATATAGTCACCTCACTTAGCAAAAAATGAGGAATTTAGATCATTAGAAGAGTTTCCTCACGTGCCTGCTGGAGATTATGAAACTGAAATCTTACTTATCATCTCTTCTCCTTGATTCCTTGGGAAAGACTCGTATTAGTGATGGGTTAGTGAGACCAGCACTGGAATCACGTTGCCTTCAGTAGAGTCTTGAGAAAGTAACTTTTCTACTGGGAATTAGAAGCCTCTTTTCCTGTTTCCTCAAATATTCTTTGTATTTGTCTCTCTAATCTGTCCACTTGGTTCGTCAGCCCCAAATGTATATAGGGTCAGACGTATGTAATAGGTTCTGGATATTTTAGCCGTCCTGTGGTCTAAAATCAATGCATTTTTATGATGAATTAATAAGGAAATATTCTAATTGTGTATTGATTGAATACTAGATTATCTGTTATTTTTCCTTTTATGTGAGTTACTCAAAATAACATCTGAATTTTGTCACTTAAAATCATTCTTAAGCACTACTTTTTCTTCTTTTTTTTTTTCCCCCCCGAAAGAAATGTAGACCTCTTACTCTACATTTTAGAAATTTGAAAGCGAAAAGGCATTTTTTAAAGGGATACTGCATCTTTAAAGTGATCTTCAGTATTTATCCAGTACTGTATTTAAATTTAGGACTATAGTTGCATTCCATATGTGTGAGCCACCATTACAGCAGATAAGAGAAACAATAATTTGGGGGCCCTATACACCTAAAAGGAAAATATTATAAAGGGATAAAGCACGTGCAGTTGCTGGGGAGATGAAAATTCCTGTTTTTTTTTTAACTCCCACTTCAAGAACACAGAATGTAGAGTGCAAATCATCCATCTGTTAATACATGATTGGGTCTGCCCAAATGTAAGCATCAGAGAGAAATGTTATTTTTACCATTACAGTAGCACCTCATTAATCAAAAGGCCTTCCAATCTGCTCAAGAAAACTGGTTTTCTTTTCACAGTTCTCAGAGCAATGTAATAAGAGTGTAATAAGTGTGCATCAGGTGTAATACTGTTTAGATCTCAGCATTACTTAAGTATATAATGCTGCAGTTACTGTGGCATTCTGAAATATTGTGAATTAATATTAATGTGAATGAATTTAGGAAATTAATGATTTTAGGAAACAGCATACTACATTTTACACAGTACTTTTTAAATTCAATCTGTGTTTACACACTTACTAGTAAGCTGTAACGGGTCTCCGTGACGCTGGTATTAGTGAGGTCCTACTGAATGGAGGAATCACATTTATTTCCTTGTGGGACCATTTTTGGAAACATGATAAATGCCGTTTGTTGTCTTAACATTGAGCTGGAATATCTACAACATACATTCCTGTCATAGGAAGCTCTATGGTGCACCTTGATGTTCTCTTTTATTGTAATTAGCAACATATCAATATTATTTTTGACACTGTGTGATACAAAGGCCATTTATAATTACACTAACAAATTTGTTGCTGATACAATAATATATTTTTTCTGTACAAAAGTGCTCCTTAATATGAAATGAGAGTTAAGAAACGGCTTCTCAGCACTTTCACGTCTCCTCGTAAGACAATATGCCAGCCAAGCAAAAACCTAGAAGTAATCTGTGAAAATTTGCACTCAGTGGTATGCTGCTGGAAAAATAGCGACTGGAAAATACTCATGGGTAAGCATGAGTGTAGTCAGTTCATGCATATCAAGTTCATATTTGAGGAGCCTTTGTATTGGAATTGTATTGCATTGTATTTATACTTGGTATAGGTAGGATGCTTCTATTTAAAATGAAGAGAGCGACCAGTCTTAGACTTCTTATAACCTGTGTTTATATTAGCCTGCTGGGAATCCTTATTTCTAGCTCAGGTTTTCCTGTCCACAGCACATAAGTCAATATTTGTTTGTACTTGCATCTTGAAATACTTCTTGTATTGACTAACATCATACAGAAATAAATTCCAGCCACAAAAATAGTTTTACTTTGTTCAAAGGATAAGAGTGTGACTAATGTGGTAGGTAACTCATTCATGTCAGATTGACATATTTGTATCGGGATTGCAACTTGCATGTGTGAGGTCATGATAAAATGTTATTTAAAGTGGCATTAGACTAAATGGTGCTATGTTGTGTTACACCACTGACCAAACTCTTCCATAGTGCAGTTCCATTTCTTTCATTCACGAGTCACTGAAATTGCACCAGGAATAAATTTGACCAATTAGTTAACAACAGTTGTGAAGTGTTGTTACAGAAAATAGTTTTAGGTTATTGAAATATTCAAAAGCAACTGCAGTGATATGGGAACCCACTTAGTAGGACTGAAAATCTTTCTTGCATTCTCATATCACACAAATGCTTGGGGAAGAGTGACCTATGGTCCTAAAGCAGAACACAATCACCTTTAGAAGTTAATTTTGAATGACTCCTTTTCTTTTGGGCTTCACACCCAATGTCATTCTGTTTTCTTATGACTGTGCAGTTTGCACCATTGGGTGTTAATAGTTTATGCACTGAAAAGTGGTGAAAGAATTGCTTGGGAACACACTGCTCTGTGTTTGTGTGTACATATGTGTTCCAATGTCCAGCACATATTATTTACTTCTTTTTTTTTTTTGTAAATCTCCAAATCTGTTCCCCTCTCCTAACTCCCACTCCTACCCCTGAAGCAGCACTTTTGGGTGAAAGGGAGAAACACTCCTTTTTTCTTTCCTCCCTCTTTGTTTTTGTTAATTGCATACCTGCGAGTTATGCAGGTAACATTAGGGCATTTGCAGTGTGTGTATTTGCGTGTTCCTGTTCTGAACTAGTTTTCCAAGAAGAAATTCCCTTTGAAATAACATAAAAAAGAAAAAAAGGAAAAAAAAAAAAAAAAAAGGAAATGGTAAACTGGATGCTCCCTGTTTGCGTTTTATTTACCTGCTGAGGTCTAGTACATGAAACAATGTTTAAAAGACAAAAATCAAGGTTGAGCCATAAAGCAAAAGGTGTATTCTCTGTACTATAGACTTTCTTCTTGAGGGCGGTGCATGTTGTCAGGGTAAGCTATGGAACGTGCAGATGGTTTTTCAGGGCCCTGCAATTCCTTGCCCGGCTTTTAAGCTGGTGCATATGGTGCTTTATAATGCAATTTCTGAAGTAAAATTACCTTATGCTGCACCCCCTTCCCCTTTTGAACACACGCACAATTTCAGAATAGTTATTGTAGCCTCTGGTTGAGCAGTTTCTCCAAGGTGTGGTGAAGTACCGGGATAAACACGAGCTGAGAGATGCCACCAAAAGGGATCGTTGTAGCTGCCACATGTGAGGGGCCCTGCTCTGAGCACTGAATGACTTCCCCAGCCTCCTGGCGCAGCACGGCCAGGCGTCCTCTGGGCTCTGCGGGACATTCGGTGGCTCTGTCATGGACCCAAGTAGCCAAGTGTTTCCAAGTCTATGAAATCCTGTTGTCTTCGGTCATCATGCTTTGTCACTGTAAAACCAACAACAACAAAAAGCGTTTTTTTAGTCTAATTTAAGGAGCTGCTTCTTTTATAGCACATAATATTTCGCTTTGTACTATATTTGATAGTTAAAGAATAATTTAGTCAGTAGAATAACTTTGTTGTATTTGTACTGTTCATGAATGTTACAAGAAAAGTGCTTTACTTTGTTGCCATCATTCTCTTGTACTGCTGTAAAATATTTTTTCTGCTTTATGGAAACTTAACACAATCCACATTTTCAGTACAGGGTTTTTTGTATGTATGTTTTTTGTTGGCTTTTTTTTTTTTCTGTTTTTTTTTTTGTCAGTATTCTGAATGTTTACATCTGTTTGACATTAGCCATTCTATGCCTTCATAGGGCAGTATTACTCCTACAGTATAACAGCAATGTGAAATCCACTCATAATCCACATGCATGAGAAATACAGGTTGAGTGGGGAGATCCCTACCGTGCGCCATGCGTAGATATTTTTCTATCCACGTTCAGTGATGTAAATACACTCCTTCAGTCCTCTACCAAAGAAAATATTATTCCCATGGGACAAGGTTGGAAAATGGTTCTCTGAATCTTCCGAAGGAGGTGTAGTTGAATTCAGTGGGATTGCTACAGTTCAATGCTGTTATGCGTCGCTGTGTTACCCAGCCCAACCCAGCTGGGGGAAACAAGCATCTTGGCAGTTTTTTTGTTTCAAGACAGTGTTTTGTTTAGAATTCAGGGATCGTGCTTTCTTTAATGGTGCTGGTTTTGTTTTTTGTTTTGTTTTGTTTTTTTAAGAAAACATTTTGTTGCCTCCAAAAGTGACCGCTCACAAAACCATAAATTAAATAAAATAATTTGTCTTCATACCTTCTCTCTTCTCCCTTTCCTTTTCCCCTTTTCTGTCCCTTGAAAATAACAACTTGAGCTTCAATATTAAACTATTCTGGAAAAAAAAAATAAAGAGATAAAATAACGTTTGCCATTTGTTTATTTATTTTCCATTCAGTGCCTTTTGCAGGAGATCCTGCTTGTGCACATCCACTGTATGTACATATAGGTCAGTGAAAGAGAAATGGGAGAGAAACCAGTCCTCTGGAAAGGATCTGTAAGTGACAGTGATGTAAGAATTAATCTGAACAGCATCTGATGTAACTCAAGCATTACCATCTTATATTAGTAAAATAAACTAGGTGTTATGTATTAAGTTGTTGTAAGTAGAACAGTTTGTGGATGAAAGTAATCATCATGCTTTGGAGAGTTAATGCCTGGTGTATCTGAGTGTTTCCCCTCCATCTGCAACCCCATCCAGAATGGTCCTAACAACTCTGCATTCAGATATGCACCTCTGTCACTGCTCATCCTCACAGCAGAAGTTAAAGGTCTGTAGTGCCTGTAAGGGGGCCAGCCCAAACTGTACCTCTCAAAGCAGTTATCCTTTGAAGTCTGGTGTGTTATTGGAATGTTATTGGCATGTAGTGGAAATAGAGAAATTGGGTAGTCATTGCATAAGTATGTATCTATATGTATGTGTATATATAACCCTAACCCTACATATATAGTTTGGGCTGGTCCCCTTTTAGGCACTACAGGCCTTTAACTACACATATATATGTGAGTGTATATATAACCTAGTATATAACCCTAACCTATGGTATATAACCTAACATATATATGTATGTATATATAACACTAACCCTATGTAGGGTTAGGGTTATATACTCATAGATAAATATGTATGTCGTTTTCAACATTTTACCCCACAAAAACAGCTTTGAACACTGTTGGTTAAAGTGAAAGAGTTAGATTATAGGTGATAAATAACATTTTCCTATGCCTCCACAGAAATGCTTGGGCCAATCACCTTTTCTGCAGCTTCCTGCATTATTGTTTAAATTCTGATAGTGAATGTCTGTCTTGCTAGTAGGAATCAGCAGCCCTTTTTGACAACATTTGTACAAATGCAGAATGAAGACAGTGCCACCCTCTGTAGTTCTGAGTCCTTTTTTTTTTTTCCCCTTAAATATCCAGTGCCCATGCGGCAACCTCCTTCACCTGGGACTGCCACTCAGATAATTCGGCTCCTTTAATTCCGCTTAGATATTTGCCTTTGTACCAAGCTGTGCAAAATCAGTTACTAGCTCTGCTTCTGACAGTGCCAACTTTTCAATCTGATTTCTTTTTACAAGTTTTCATCTGAGCAAGTCGAATACAAATCAACTTCTCAAATCTGCTATAGTTAAATATTTACTTTTCCTTCTTTTTTAAAATCTGCCAGGTATTTCTGAACATTTTCTTTTATCCTACAACACCTGTGTTTGGCTTTTCTGTGGTGTTTCCTGAGGACCTGATGAGTAACAGCAGGTTAAGCCCTGCAGTTCTTTTCTGGTACAGGTGCTCTCCTTAGGTCAACCCAGCCAGACCACATCAGTTCAGCCAGCAGATGGCATCAGGAGAAAGCTCACTGATAGCTCTTAGGAAAAGATAAAAATAATAAAAGGTGTCATTCTCTAGTTTTTCTGTCCCTCGGCACAGGAATACTGGCCATGGTTTTCTGTGTCTTTCTTCAGCGTAGAGCTGTAAGTGCAAACAGGCCCTTTTTCCCCGTCCCACCCCTGGGACTTTGCTCAGCAAAGCAATGCCCTGAAGCTCACATCAGCCTTTCCTTTTCCTGCACGTGGGAGCTTTGGCACCTGCCTTTGCAAGCTCTGTCCAAGTTCTGCAGTCTATGAAAGCGAAGTACTGATACACTGGAAGTAATTCTTCCCCGGGTCAGAGCCAAGGCACTTTGTATTCTCACTCTTTGCTTTGCCGCTCACAGATGAAGGGAGACAGCCAGGCAGTTCTGGGCATTGCGGCACATCACAAACAGCTGGGAAGGTTTTATCACTGCTGGGTGTACAGAGAGGGTGCTGCTATCAGACCTGGCCTGTGTCAGATCACAGCTAATGGCTGAACAACACCAAAAGAGCAATGCATTTGGTACTGGCATTGGAAACAGCTTTGCACCATAAGAGAGGTGAATGAAGTCATGGGCACTGGGAAGCACTGACACCTGCTTGTGGAGATAAAGTGTGTTATTAGCATGGCTGATTCTAAGGAAATTGGGCTAGAAAAAGAAATAAAGCAACGTTTGCTAAACTAATTTAGACACCTGGTACTCTCCGTAGCAGGCACTAATGAGGGGAGTTTCTTGCATCTCACTGAAATGACAGCCATTGACTTTTGAGAAGGGAAATTTCACGCCACTGGGAGGCGTCTGCTGGTTCACAAGTAGTGAGGAAGCCAGGAATTTATTCACATGACCATGGGGAAAAATGCCTGGATCGTGCTTTTTGGAAATAAGTGCACCCTGTATAAGTTATGATGTACAAAGCCTTTTTGTTCCGTGTTGTTAGTTGTGGGATCTCAGAGCATAGGTCAACCTTCATAGTCCTGTTTCTCTTTTTCCAGTGCCTCTGAGCATCCTATGCATGTACCAATGGCAGAGAGGACAGTTTAGGATCCCACAAGGTAGAAAAACATATGGGAAAACAAGCTGAATAGATTAGATAACCTACTTGCATAAAGATGAAATCTTGCCATGTTGAGTAAATAAATGCCCACTGATATGTATATGAAGGAGATATTTTATTAAGCAAATATGTGGCTTTGCTGTGAACAGATATTTGTTTCTGAGTCTTTTGTAGCTGCTCAGATTCACCCTGCAAATCACTTTTCATGCCCCTTCCTAATGAACTCTCAGCCCAGCATCCATCACGCAGAACCTTAGTAACAAATGGGTTCCTTTCTGGCATTTCAAGGGGCAGATCTGGGGGAAGGTGGAAAAATTGTATGCACCATCCTCTTGTTTACTTGTGCATGGTGCAGAGTCCTTGGGGAATAGAAAAAAGGTAAAAATTACCTGCAAAAATATAATAATCCTAATATACGTTCCTTGCCTTCTTTTAGGTTACTGAGGAATAAATCCAAGCTTCCTCTTTCTTAATGTCCATGAGCAGCAGCTGGCCCGTAGTAGCCAGTGTAGACCATTTGTCCTGGATTCTGTTCAGAAGTGAGTGTTTACAGCTCAACAAGTCCAAATAAATGTCCTGAGAGCGCCATGAGAGCACAGCCAACCAAGATAGCCTGCTGCTGAGAATAATCACAGGTAAGAAAGTGATCAGCAAATAGAAAGTGAAAAAAGTTCAGTGATGCATTTGGAAGTGATCCTTCCTGTTGTTTTAACTTTTCAACATCTGTGCAGAATTTTGAATATTAAGAACATCTTTTGTAGCTCTAAGCTGAGAGAGAAATTTACGTATTTAAGGAAAAACAGATGCGCAGCCAGCTGATATTATGAAACCTGACATTATAAAACTTGACAGCTAAGTACTTAATAACAGCTGATGGAATTCTATAGTTTCTGGTTAGAAAATTA